GAGTTCCAGGCTGGCTGGGGCTAAAGGAAAATCCTGTCTCAAAAAGAAAAAAAGTGAGAAACTTAAGCCAGATGTGGTAGTACCACTTTAGTCCTAGCACTTGGAGTTCAAGGCCAGCCTGATCTACATATCAAGTTGCAGGTCAGCCAGGGCTACACAGTGAGACCCTGTCTCAAACAAATTAATTAATTGAGAGGCTGGAGAGATGGCTCAGTGGTTAAGAGCACATAGAGCTCTTACAGAGGACCCAGGTTCGATTCCCAGCACCCACATAGCATGTAACAACTGTCTGTAACGCCAGTTCCAGGTTGACACAACACCCTCTTCTGACCTCCGTGGGGGTCAGTGCATGACATGGGTGCACTTACATACATGCAGGCAATACACTCATACATATAAAATAAAAATAATAAAATATTTTTAAAAACTTAATTAATTGAAATAGAACGATAAACTTACAGCCAGGCCTAGTGACTCATGCCTGCAATCCCAGCACCAGGAAGGCTAAGGCAGAGGGCCACTGTGAGATTGGAGAAGCCTGGGCTACCCAGTAAATAAGAGACCAAACTGGGATACAGAATAAGACCCTATCTCAAAAAACAAAAGTGAATGAATAAAAAATAAGATGAGGAATTGGGGCATCTCTGGGTTTGTGCATCTACAGGAAGGTCCTACAATATCCCATAGACAGCAAAAGATGACAATGCTTTTAGTTACAGTGAACAGTACATAAAGATAACCTTATGATATCTAGGAACCTAGATGTCATAAGTACTAGCTGGGAGAAAGCATAAGAAATACACTCACACTTTCACAGAGGTCTGGGGCGATGGCTCAGTGGATAAAATGCTTGCCACGCTAAGCGTGAGGACGTGAGTTCCAGGCCCTAGACCCAGGCAAAGTGAGATGCAGTGGCTTGAATCTGTCATTCCAGTGCTCCCAGTGAGATGGGAGTCAAGACAGAAGAACCCTGGAAGCTGGTAGGCCAGCCACCCTGCAGATGCAGCGAAAAGCAGAGAAACTCTTTCTCAAAAACAGTGGGAGGTAAGGACCAACACCCAGAGTTGTCCTCTGACCTGCATACCTGTACCAGCACTCACACAAGCATTCACACACATCATACATGTATACACATCAAAAAGACTGAAAAAAAAAAAAAGACTTCAGAGATTTGAATTAAAATTACAAAACAATGCTCAAAATGCTTAAAGACGCTGTCACCCTAGACCAGAAAACTCCCCAAAGACTAATAAATTTACTCAGGAATAGTAGAGCATTTTCTCACTAGCCTCACATGTGACATGGTGAACTTGGAGCACATTCAAAGAGACTGAGGCAAGGGAAGATTTTACAGGCAAAACGAGGAAGACTGGCACTTGAAAAAAGCAAGATGGCCGGGCGTGGTGGCACACGCCTTTAATCCCAGCACTCGGGAGGCAAAGGCAGGCAGATCTTTGTGAGTTCAAGGCCAGCCTGGTCTACGTAGTGAGTTCCAGGATAGCTGGGGTTACAGGGAGACCCTGCCTCAAAAAGACCAAAAAGAAAAAAAACAAGATGAAAATTAACTTTAGAAGAGCATGAGTGCATCAGGCGCGCAACCCCAGTACTCGGAGCCTGAGGCAAGAGAGTCACCAGGGTTCAAAGACAGCCTTAGCTATACAGAAAGATCCTGTCTTAAAAACTAAGAGGGGAGGGGCCTGGAGAGATGGCTCAGTGGTTAAGAAAGTACTACTGTTCCAGAGGATCAAGGGTTCAATTCCCAAAGCCCAGATAGGGCAGCTCACAACCACCTGTAACTCTAGCTATAGTGGGGGCTGATGCCCTGGCCTCCACTAACAGCTTCACACAGGTGGAGACACACACACACACACACACACACACACACACACACACACACACACACCCCACTAACAGCTTCACACATTCCAAAGGGAGCCCATGTTCTCTTCTGGTGTCTGTGTCACACACACACACGCGCGCACACACACACGCACACGCACACGCGCACACACACAAGCATGCGCATAATTAAAAATAATAAAAAACAGGTTGGAGAGATGGCTCAGAGGTTAAGGGTGCTGGCTGCTCTTGTAGAAGACCCAGATTCAGTTCCCAGCACCCACAGAGTAGGTAACAACCGCCTATAACTCCAGTTCCAGGAGATCTAATTCCCTCTTCTGGCCTCCTCCTTTTGAGCAGGACACATGGGACAAAACATACATGCAGACAAAACATACATATAAATAAAATTTAAATACATCTCTTAAAATAAAATTTTAAAAACATATTGCTGAAGATAACGAGCTTTGGCTGCAGGACATAGAAAAATTAAGCTAGAACTGGCCTCCTCCCTTCATGATAGCTTTCACAGTGAAGGTACTATGCAGGCTGCTGGGGGGGAACTGCCATCAACAATCTTACTCAGCTACAGATCTTGTGTTACATTACCAACATGCCAGGCAAGACGCGTCCACCAATACAATAATGACATGGCTGTTCTGGGGACAGACAACCACTTTATGACTGGATGTGAGGACCATTCCCCAGGAGGTACTGTAAAGCTAGTCAAAAGCCCAAGGCTAGGGAGGTCACAGGCCCTAGTGAGGAAGCTACTGCTGCTGGAATTTTGTTGTTGTTATTTTTTTTTTTGAGACAGGTCTCCCTGTGGCCCCAGCTGGCCTAGAACTCCTATGTAGAGGAGATCCACCTATCTCTGCTTCCTGAGAGCTGCGGCCACACCTGGATACTACTGCTGTATTACTAAGTAAACAGGAGATGCCTATGAAACTACATTGTAATTTATATTTATGACCATAGATTAGTTTTTCTGTCAGCTTTGATCACAGAAGCTTCTTTCTGCAGTAGGCAATGACTTACAACTGGTCAAAGTGCTGAGAATAGGTGACTACTGAATGTTTAACCGTGAGGGGGTGGGGGGCACATCTACATTACCCCTCCAAGGTTCCAGAACATAGCAGATGAGAGCAGAAGGCATACTGGAGTGGGGGTCGGGGGGGAGGGTAATGTGGAAGATTGTCTCCCAGGCAGACATGGCCTTGAACTGGTGAACTCACAGAAGCTAAGATTATCACCACAAGACTGGCCTGTCAAAATTTCCTCATGGAGCAGGGAAGAACTCACAGATCCCTGAGGACTTAAAGGGCATTAAGGTCAGTTGCAGGGAGGGGCTTATAAGGCCCCACCCCCTCCCAGAGAATCCACCGGTGGTTAATGGCTGCTGGAGGAGGGCCAGACATTGACTTCCAACAGTACAGCTGTGCCAAGTTGGCCATACTCTTCTCACCCTGTTCCTATAAGTAACCCCAATTAAACTCACTGCTTCATTAAAAAAAAGACAAGAGACTAGAAAGGAGACTAGAAGAGGAAGGGGAGCAGCAGGAGCGGGACGGTGGACAAAGAGCATAACGGGGGTGAATATGATTGATCATTTTCATATTCATTAAATGGGTTATGACATTTTCATACATTATATACATGTATGAAAATGTCATAATGAACCCATTATTATGTCAAATTAACACATGCTAATAAAACGTTAAAAATAAAAAGGAAAAGGAAACAAGCAGTGAGAGCCAGGCATGGTGCAGCACACCTGTAACGTCAACAATCAGAGGCAGAGGGCAGCCAGATGTGGGTGGTGATACACCCCCTTCACCCCTAGCACTCAAGTAAGCAGACTTTCTGTGAGCTTGAGACCACCTAGTCTCCATAGACAGTTCCAAGCCAGCCAAGGCTATATAGTAGGAGACCCTGTCTTAGGGAAAAAAGAAAATTAAAAAATGTCAGGTGTAGTGGTATATGCCTTTTATCCTAGCAATCAGGAGATACAGGCAGGCAAATCTCTAAGTTTGAGGCCAGCCTGGTCTACATAGTGAGTACCAGGCCAGCTGCAGCTACAGGGAGACCCTGTCTCAAAAAAAATAAACAAATAAATAAAAGTAAAGAAATTAAGTGGAAAGTAAGGTTGTTGGGGAGATGGCTCAATAATTAAAGGACTTGGAGCATTTGAGGAGGTAGTTGTCAGAAAGGAGTCAACGACAGCTTACTGCGCGCTAAAAAAAAAATGGAGAATGGAATTACCACAACAAGATAGTGAACAGAAAACTTCTGAAGGAAACAGAATACTGTTTCGACAAAAAGTTTGAATGTGACCAAGAGAAAATACCTAAAGGCAAGGCAGGACTAAAGCCAGGAAAGAGTCTGGTTAGAACAACAAATTTAGAAATCTGGACACAGAGATAATAGTTAAGTCCCAGTGGTTCTAACGTCCAAACTACCAAAATCCTTTTTCCTCAAACCACTGCCCCAATGCAACCCAAAGCTCTGATCCTACAACAGGACAGAACATGTGAAAGAGCTCCAGTAGCCACACAGCTGTGAGAAGTCCGACACACAGACCACACGTGGATACAGCCTGATTCAGAGAGCACAGATCCACACCCACCACTAGAAATCACAACAGCAATGAGACCATCCAAATCCACACAGAAATGGTCTGTAGTAAATAAATGGTGTCCATTCTCCCTTTTAGAGTAAAGACACAAAGGGACACTTAGAATTGCCTAAGAGTTATTAAGTTGAGCACTAAGAATTTATTAGGTACCCTTGAAATTTCCTATTAAATTGTTACTGAAAAAGTTTTCATAACCAGATGTGGTGGTATATGTGGTGGTATATACCTATAATCCCAGCACTCAGGAAGTGGAGGCAGGGAAATCGGGAGGAGCAAAAGCCCAGCCTCAGAAAAAAGAAAAAAGAAAAAAAAAAAAAAAGTCAACAAAAATTCCTAGGAATTTAAGACCTATCGGTAGCAGTGACAAGAGCTAGATGTCTTTCAGCCTCTCGGCTTCACGGGAAAGAAATGGTAGGAAGCCAGTGTGTTCTTCCTCAGAGAAAGGCGGCATGGTGAAGATGCCCAAAGGCATCCCAACTTCTAGAAGGAAAAAATCAGAAAAGATGCAGTCCTCAAACAGACTTACTCTTTTCGATGAGCTGGTCCTGAACTCCTGCCAATGCACTTACTGCCTATAAGAAAAACCACTGGTTACTAAACAGATCACCACAGACCCCAAGAGAGCAACCCACCCAGGGAGGAAAGGAAAGGGAAAGAAAATCCACATTCTTCAACAAAGGATGACAGAAAGACACCCCCCACCACCACCACTCACAGCTGCTGAGGTAACTGAAGATTTACTGAAGAGCCGCTCTGCTTCCTTAAATTTCCGGTTCCTCCGATCGTTTTTGCTATTGGAGTTTCTAAAACACACAAAATAAGTGCTTGAAGCAGGCACCGAGCTATGTGTTATGCTCAGCTGGGGTCCCTGGGACAGAAGTAGATGAGTGCTGTGCCTACATGTAAGTGTACCACATGTGTGCAATGCCCATGGAAGGCAGAAGAGGGTGTCTGATCTCCAAGAACTTGCGCTAAGGACAGATGTTAGCAGCCATGTGGGCAGTCCTCTGCAAGAGCAGCCAATGCTCTTAACCCCTGAGCCATGTCTCCAGTCCGTCCGTCCGTCCTTCCTTCCTTCCTTCCTTCCTTCCTTCCTTCCTTCCTTCCTTCCCTCCCTCCTTCCCTCCCTCCTTCCTTCATTTGGGTCTTTCTGAGACAGGGTCTCCCTGTACCCTCAGCTAGCCTGGAACTCACTATGTAGACCAGGCTGGCCTCAATCTCACAGAGATCCACCTGCCTCTGCCTCTGGATTGCTGGGATTAAAGATGTATGCCAACCATTCCCGGCTTCATTTTTTTTTTTTAATTTAATATATTTATTTTATGTGTATGAGTGTATTGCCTGCATGTATGTGAGTGCACCTGTGTCATGCAATGCCACGGAGGTCAGAAGAGGGCTTCAATTTCCCTGGAACTGGAGTTAAGGATGGTCTGTAGCCGCCATGTGGGTGCTGGGAATTGGACCCCGGCCCTCTGCAAGAACAGTCAGTGCTCTTAACCACTGAGCCATGTCTCCAGCCCCATCATTCTTTTTTAAATGAATTATTTATTGTGTGTTTGTGTATGATGTATGTATGTATGAGGGCAGAGCACAACTTTCTAGAGTCTGTCTGCTCCCTCCACCTTTATGTAGGTCCCAGTGATTGAATTTGTGTGGTCAGTCTTCATAGCAAGCATCTTCATCCACTGAGCCATCTTGCCAGTCCGATTCTTTTTTTTTCTTAACCAAGTTCCATTTAGGAATGCCTCTGATCATGTGGACTGATTCAAACAACCTTTATGGTGACCGCCTACAAACTAATGCTTTCCAATCGATGGTACATGCCCACCACAGGTGAGATCACTTTAGCTGCTTCACAAATATTGTCACATATTTACTTATTCACTTGTTTTGTTTTTAAGGAGCTGAGGGTCCTCAGGGACATAGTGACATGTCTTGTTTGTCATCAGAACACAGAGCAGCACCATCCCATGGATGGCAGCCTGGCCTCCCCAGTCCAAATCCCTCTCCCCACTCTAATATGCATTCCCGTATTCATGTGGATGTTTACGATAAAAATGGTTAGTACCCTGAGCAGTGGCACATGCCTTTAATCCCAAGCACTCAGGAAGCAGACACAGGCAGATCTTTATGAGTTAGAAGCCAGCCTGGTCTATAGAGTAAAAGACCCTGTTTCAAAAACACCAGAGGGAAAAAAAAAAAAAAAAGGAAAAAGGCTAATAGGGTCACGTGAAAGAGACAAAGGAAGGCTGAGGATGTAGCTAGGTTGTAGTGTGCACAGCACTAGGTTCAATTCCCAGCAGCACATACACCAGATACGATGCCCCATGCCTGTAACCCCAGCAACTCAGGAAGCAGAGGCAGGAGGATAAAATGTTCAAAGGCATCCTCTGCTACATAGAAAGCCAACCTGGGCTATCAGAGAGGTTCTGTTTCAAAAAAAAAAGACAAAAGAGGCTGGAGAGATGGCCCAGCACTTAAGAGCTCATACTACTCTACCAGAGGACCCAAGTTCAATTCCTAGCACCCATATCAGGCAGCTCACAACTATCTGTAATTCAAACTACAGGGTATCCAATGCCCTCGTCTGGCCTCCAAAGGAACCCTCACTCACACATACACATACACACAGTCACACATGTAATTAAAAAATTTAAAAAAAGGGAAAAGCTGGATGTGGTGGCACATGCCTTTAATCCCAGCACTAGGGAGGCAGAGGCAGGCGGATCTCTGTGAGTTCCAGGCCAGCCTGGTCTACATAGTGAGTTCCAGGCCAGCTGGGGCTACAGGGAGACCCTGTCTCAAAAAGACCAGAGGGTGAAAAAAAAAGAGAGAACAGCCAAATGCAACATGTGAAGGAGAACTGTACTGTGACAATACAATGCAGTATTAATTATCTAGGATGATCACTACAGTTTTGAAGCAGCAATGTCCTTGTTCTTCTCCAGAGGTAACTACTAATATATTTAGGTGTAGAGTTTCATGAAAGAGCATCTAAGTTTCCAATGGTCAGCAGGAAAGAAAAAAGTACAGAGGAAACAAGAATGTAACTACAAAGGAGTAGCACGAGGGAGATCTTCATGATAATGGAAGTTATCTTTCATATATATAAATTTATGTGTTGTGTGTACGTGTTAGTGGGCGCAGCACACATGTAGCCCTTACGTGACAACTTTCAGCTGTGGGTCCTTGCCTTTCACCTTTGTGAGGCAGAATCTCTCCTTTCTACAGCACTGTGTACTCACACTAGCTGGCCTGCAAGCTTCCATCTCTCTGTAGGAATACCTTCCAAATACATCTTTCTTTTATAAGATCTATTTTTTTTTAACTTTTTTAAATTTTTATTTATTACTTTTATTTTACAGGTATTTGTGTATTGCCTGCATGTAGGTAAGTGCACCCATGTTCTGCAATGCCAGAGGAGGTCAGAGACGCTGTTGGATCCCCCTGGAACTGGAGTTATGGACAGTTGTTAGCGGCCATGTGGGTGCTAAGATTCGAACCCGGGTCTTCTGCAAGAACAACCATTGTTCTTAACCACTGAGCCATCTCTCCAGTCCCTTAAATCTATTTTATTATTTTTAATTATGTGTTTATGTGTGTGTCCCTGTGGAGGCATGTGCGCGTAAGTGTCCACAGAGACCAAAGGAGGGCATTGGATCCTTTGGAGCTGGAGTTACAAGTATCAGACATGCACCAACATGGGTGTTGGGATTTAAACTCTGGTCCTCTCCAAGAACAGCAAGTGCTCTTAACCACTGAGCCATCTCTACAGTCCCTGCAAAGTTGCTACCAAAACGAAACATCCTACAGATAAATTAGTAGGGCACAAAAGGTCCAATACTGCTTTTGACACTCACTTTTGGTTGGTCAGATACCGATCCCAGCCCCGGATAATATTGCCATACATCTGAGTGTCTTCCAGGTAGCTTCCTTCAAAAGCATAGATCTGTCTCTCCAGGTTTGCAAGTGTTTCCTGAAAGATGGAAAAACAGGGACATGGAAAAAGTCTTAAATACAAACATTAAGCATAAGCAAATTAAAATCCTGACACTAAACTTGTAAAGTCAAGCTTATTCACAATGAGCTGTTTTTGTAGATGCAATGGGGCTGAGGGACCCTTATGAACAGAATGCGATCTGTAGCCTGTTCTCATAAAAAGCACAGAGATAGCAGGGCGTGGTGGAACACGCCTTTAATCCCAGCACTCGGGAGGCAGAAGCAGGCTTATCTTTGTGAATTCAAGGCCAGCCTGGTCTATATAGTGAGATCCAGGACAGCTGGAGCTACAGGGACACACTGTCTCAAAAAGACCGAAAAAAAAAAAAGCACAGAGATAGAAGATTCTGTATCTACTTCAGTGGGAAACTCGCTATCATGGGCTGGACTGAGACAGAAGTGAGCGGTCTCCATTTCCCACTCATTAAAGGTGTCGCTACCAGGAGTGGGAAGGGTGAACAGATTTTCAAAATCATCTTTTCGGCAGCAACTGCTCCGCTCCCCGCAGGCTCTAGAAGGGCCGCCCGCAGCAGGATGCCAGTTGCTATGGAAACCTGGAAGGGCAGCTTCAGGTGAGCTGGGCCTCCCGGAGGCGCAAAGAAAAAGGCGGGAGCCGGGAGGACGCAACCTTCAGGGTGCCTGGGGCTCCGGCTGCGCATCAGGATCCCAAATTCCCTAGACTGCGTCCTGGGTCCCCAGCTTGTCCCCTTCCAGATGTTCCCACGCACATAACATCCCCGGCCATTGAAACGCACCGCTCGCAGATCTACCGCGGGTACCCAAAGGAACACGCGCCCGCATCCTCGCCAGGCCGGGCTCTGGCCGCCTCCTATCCACCTGCTAAGCCCAACGACCGGGAGAGGGCGGCCGCCCCCGCCTC